GATGCTTTCTAACTTAAAAGAAGTAAGGAATTAATCATAAATGCGTGAAAACAAGGCATAAATGCAAGAAATATTGATTATTCCTTCTCAATCATTCTCTCACTCAGTTTATGTGTTTTAATAGCAGGAAATACCAAAAAAAGAAGTAAATGAGAGCAATGCAGTTTTCCAGCTGGCGCAATTTGCGCGGAGTCTGGCGCAAATCGCGCTATTTGGTCCATGTCATCTCTGTTTCTTGGCGAAAAGTGCGTGGGCGATATTTTTTAATTTTAATCTGATGCGAATTACTCTAAAATGAGGCCCGATTGGAGAGCAATTGAAAGGAGGTTTTCCTAAAACCTAATAAAAGGATCAGAAACACAAGGAAAAGGCACTTTTTGACAAGACGAAGAAGAAAGAGAACAAACGGAGGGAGAATTCTTGGGAGCTTCTTGGAGTTTCAGAGAATCGAACGATCAAGTCAGAAGATCTTCATCTTCTTTCTCTTCTTTAGGTTCTGAATTTTATTTTCTTTTGTATTGATTTTGTCAGACATGAATATGTCTGACTAGTTTTCATTATTGTGGTAAGGGTCACAACCCTTGATGTGAACCCCTTGTAGTTTGGTTGAAGTTTATGTTTATCTATTTAAATTGAATTTATCTTACCTTGTTTTTCATTCTATAATTCTTTTGGAACTGATCAATCTATCAAGATTGCGAGGGTTAGGGTTTTCAATAGGGATATTGGAATTCTAATTCCTGACAAAAGGGTAAGATAACTGTTTATGTATGCACTAGGGATAGGCTACATTAACCGCAAACGTTAAGGATTCATTGATTCTAAAGGTTAACTTGAAAAGGGATTTATAAGGGATTAGGATTCTAATAGAGTTAATAAAGTTAAAGTCACTAAGGGATTAGGGCTTAACTAATCATATAAAAGATGATGAATCGTTTGATCAATTGAATAAGTAAACGTAAATGTAATCCAAGTTGCAAGGTGGGGATCGTAAAGGTGTTTGTTTCTCTTTACCGCAATATTTTCTCAAACATTTTCTCAACTTTTAATCTTTGTCCTTGAATTCTAAAAGAACCTTTTAATCATTTACATTTTCTTGAATTGTTATCATTTATTTCACAAACCATATTTGTCCTTAAATTATCTTTATTAATCCAACAAGAGAGGAATAGTTATAATAAATTCGGTGCCTCAATCCTCGTAGAGACGATACTCTACTCATCATTCTTATTACTTGGAACGATCGGTACACTTGTCGATTTTACGCAACAAAAGACGAGGAACGTAGATTCAGCAAGAAGAGAGACAGAGTTTGCTCTTGCAGTTTTGATGGAGATACCTTCTCAATATAAGGCAACCATTGCCTGTTATGTTAGGCTTTCCTGGTGTAATAACTAATAACTGAATTTGAAAATATCATGTCTTCATTGGTATAAGTAGTGCACGGAAGGGATATTCACCAGATAGGGTTCCTCTACCCCTGCCTCTTTATAACCAGACTTCTTCTAGCATCGGCGCAAAATCTTTTCGGTCAAACAGTTTTCAGCAGAGTGTACCTACACGTACTGGCTATGATAATGGTGTTCACACAGAACCATCTACAAGTTCTTTATGATACTAAGGTATTAAGGCCATGTTTTCCAATGTAAGAAGCACCTTTCATATTAACCTGAGACATAGTTTAGCTTTCCTCCCTTGATGTCATCATAATTATTCACAATAATTTCTTTGTCCCTTTCAAGAACGGTTTATATATGACATGTTTGACTGCAGGTTTGCCCCATTTGTCTTACTAATGGAAAGGATATGGCCTTTGGTTGTGGGCATCAGGTAACCAATGATATTATATGCTGCTAATTAGTTTTGAATCGAAGGCCATATGAAAACTATACATGATCTCTCTACCTTTTATTTTCTCTCATGGCAGACTTGTTGTGAATGTGGAGAAGACCTCCAATTCTGCCCCATATCCAGGAGCATAATCCATACTAAGATAAGACTTTACTAGTTAACTTTGCTGTAGACTTGCTTTCAATGAAATTTTCATTCATTGCCAGAATAAGGTTAGCCATGAACGTTTTGATAACGTCAGAAACTGAATGTTCTGTTGACACCATAACTCATAAATTAACGTGATTTATAAGCAGGGTCGCAAAGAGATGTGCAAAGCTGGTGTGGATCTTTTGACGGATGGGTTTCTTGTGCATGAAAACTTACATGCCCAGTAACGAAGAGTTTATAGAAATAAAGGACCTTAACCACCCCTTCTTTATCTTACCAATATCTGGCCTTGTATTGGTAAGATAAAGAAGTCTCCCTACTAATCTTCTATATTTTGCTGGTTCAGGAAAAGCTGGCCCTTGATTTTGGCTAAGTCGAAGACCAGGTTGCATGGGGGTTGAAACTGGTTTTGTGCCAAGTAATCCACTATCATGCAGTAGGTCTAGTACATACTTTCGTTGATTTAAGACCAGACCTTTATTGGAACGAGCTATTTCGAGTCCAAGAAATAACTTTAATGGCCCAAGATCCTTGATCTGAAACAAATTATCCAAATGGCCTTTAACCATCTTTATTTCATCCAAATCATTCCCTGCCAAGACATATCGTCTACATAGACTACAAGAGCAGTGAATGGTTTGCCATTGCCTTTTGTGAAGAGAGAATGATCAGAGGAGAATTGTAAGTACCCAAGTGAACATAGTTCCATCGTTAAGCGAGCATTTCACTGCCTACTGGCTTGTTTAAGCCCATATAGGGACTTTCGCAGCCTGCATACTTTCTGTTTTCCATCAATAGCAACACCCTGTGGAATGGACATGTATACTTCCTCGAATAAATCATCATGCAAAAAAGCATTGTTGATATCAAGTTGTTCTAAGTGCCACTGACGAGCCACAACTACTGTAAGCAACAACCGAAATGTGGTGAGCTTTGCAACGGGTGAGAAGGTCTCAAAGTAGTCCACTCCTTCCATTTGGTTGTACCCCTTTGCAATGAGACGAGCCTTGTACCTGGTAATGGTTCCATCTTGGTTGTGTTTTATTTTATAAACCAATTTGGAACCAATAGGATGTTTTCCCTTTGGTAAGTCCACTATCTCCCAGGTTCTGTTGTTGTTTAGTGCCTCTAGCTCTTCGTTCATGGCAGTTATCCCTTCAAGAAACTAATCTGCCTGTTTATAAGTTGTTGGCTCAATAAATGAGCTAATATTGTCACATAAGGAAGAATACTCCATCGAGCATTTTGCATAAGAAACAACAGATGACAAAGGGTGAGCAGTAGATGAAGAACTAGGCAGCATATTACCAGAAGAGTAATTGCAATGAAAATCTGATAACTGCTTGGGTAGACATCTTACCCGTGTGGAGCGTCTGAGATTTAAGTTCTCTGGCACATGAGTGCATGTGGTACTCTCATTATGTGAAGGATCAGTGAGAGTCTCATCATTAGGCCCATTGTGATGTGAGTGTTCAACATGAACATCTACTGGAGTTGTAGTCTCTGATATGCTTGACCCTTGTACATCAGGTGGGGGCTCCACAATAGGAATTTCACAAAAGGGGACTGCACCTTGATCAGTAGGCCAAGGATTTTGTGATTGTGGTATTTCTTCATCCATAAAGGGAAAGTGATGCTCATAAAAGACAACATTTCTAAAGACAAAAATCTGTTTGGAAGATATATCATACAAAATATATCCCTTGGTTCCATCTTTGTGCCCAATATATACATATTTTCGTGCCCTGGGATCAAACTTTGAACGTCCTGCCATTATTGTGGATGCAAATGCCAGACAACCAAAGGCCTTAAGATGTATTATAACTGGTGGAGCATTGTGTAACAATTCATATGGTGACTTATTATTCAATTTTGGTGTGCTAATTCGATTAACCAAGTATATGGCATGAATGATACAATAGGACCACAAGCTGATAGGAAGTTTTTCTTGGAAAAGAAGAGCCCTTGCAATATTAAGCAAGTGCTAATGCTTTCTCTCAACAACACCATTTTGTTGAGGTGTTTCTATGCAAGAAGTTTGATGAATAATACTGTTTTGTCTGAAAAATTCAATCATTAGAAACTCCTGCCCATTGTCACTACGGAAAGCTTTAACTGTTTTATGAAATTGATCTTCAATTAGAGCCACAAAAGAAGAAATGTGATGTCTCACTTCAGATTTTGACTTCATAAGAATTCCCCATATATACCAAGTGCAATCATCAACAATGGTTAAAAGAAAACGATGACCATGAATTGAGGATACAGAATAAGGTCCCTAAATATCTATATGATTTAGATCAAAAGCATTTCTTGAAACAGTATTGCTTAAAGTGAAAGGAAGCTTCTTCTGCTTAGCCATGTGGCAGATATCACATGGAGTATCTATATGTTTACAAGTAATGAATGGATACTGTAACATCATGACTTTTATTACAGGTTTGGAGCAATGGCCTAAACGTAAATGTCAAATATCATTGGCATGGGATTTCAAACTAAAACTACTGTTATCAGAAAAGTTCAATTGCTTTGTTGTGTCAGCACTCAGCATTTCATGAGTTGGACCATCTTGATTTATCACATACAGTCCTCTCACCAAATTAGCAAAACCAACCATCTCCATGGATGAGGCAAATTTGATGTTGAAATGTCACATGACAATCAGTTTCATGAATCAGTTTATGTACTAATATTAAATTTACTCCAAATTCCCTTACATATAAGACATTTGTCAATGTAAGTGTCTTAGAAATTGCTACTGTACCAGACACAAGGGAAAAGACTCGTGTTCCATTGGGCAAGGATATGGCAACTGGCTCAATATGTTTGACAGAAGATAAATTTGCAAAGCTAAAAGTGATATGATCAGTGGCTCATGTGCCTAGGAACCACTGATTTGCTGACTTACTTACTTCAGAAGAATGACCATCAACATTTATTGCCTTGGTATGCACCATATTGCTTACATGTGGAGAGGATAGAGCAAAATTGTGTTGCTCTTACATCGTTTGCTGTATCATTTCCATGATGATTTGATATTGACTTTTAGTGAAATTCTCCTTTGTATCAGCTTGTCCAGCATTGTCAATTGGACTAACACCTTCACTCACAGCTGCATTGATCTTGTGTACAGGGTTCCTTTGCTTATATCCAGGAAGATAGCCATGCTTCTCAAAGCATGTCTCTACTGCGTGGCTGGTCTTTCCATAGTAGGTACAGAGCCTAGATCCTCTTCCATGTCCACCAGAGAATCCTCTTCCCCTTCCACGATTTTGCACACGTCCTCTTTCTTGAACCTGCTCAGCAAAATTGAAGAAAATTCTTGAAGAGTCATGGTTGGGAGCATTACCTTCAATCTGCAATTGCCTTTCTTGCTGTGCAACAAGGGGAAAAAAACTCGGTTGACAGACGGGAGTGGATCCATCAGCATAATCTGGGACCTCACATGAGAAAATTGGTCATTGAGTTCCTTGAGAAAGCGAATTAAATATTCTCTCTCTTTTATGTTCTTAACCTCCACTGCAATTGAACAGCATGGATGAACACATTTGCAAGTAGGCATTGGTTGCAGTGCTTCCAATTCATACCAAAGAATTTTGAGTCGAGTAAAGTAATCAGAGATTGAGCTATCTCCTTGATGTAAACGATAAATGTCATCTTGTAAATCTGATATTCTAAAAATATCAGACTGAGAAAACCTCTCCTTGAGGTCTTTCCATACATCATATGCTTTATCCATCCGCAGAATGGATTGAGATATGGAACTAGAAATCGAACGATGCAGCCATGAAAGGACCATGGTATTGCACCTCTCCCAAACTGGAAAACGCGGATCTGCTGCATCTGGAGCCAAAATCGTACCATTCACAAATGATACTTTGTTCTTTGAAATTAGAGCCATTGTCATCGCCCTGGCCCATCCATGGTAGTTCTTTTCGTGCATCAGATTAGACACAAGAACAAGTGATGGATTCTCACTTGGACGAAGATAATAGGGACTCCCTAGATCTAACAGATCAATTAGACTTGTGTTCATAGGACTACCTTCCCTATGCGATGAGTGCTTTTAGCTTCCTTCTCCATTGTAGGTGCGGAACTCTGAACCGCCGTCTTGCTTACAGAAAAAAATGGACAGATCTATCAGCAACAAAATTGAATCGGCATGCATGCAAAGGAACATGGTAGTTAAAATTTCGATTTAAATCTGCGATTTTAAGATTATATGAATTTTTTCAATAAAAATGCCTGAACCCGACAAGATATTCTGCATGTGTAATTGGGTAACGAATGTGCTTGAGTGGTTGGGATTCAACTGGCGAGTTGCACCCAAGCATCACTTGTATAACTCGGATAAAAGTTGTCGTATACTTGCGTGTAATAGCAGTAATCTCTGCATTTGAATTTCAAGTTAGCAGTCGAATTCTTTATTTGACTTGGCATCTTCGTTGAAGCAATTTTCTTTCCTTGGCCGACTTAATTGGGTTAGCGATTGCAATTATTATCTCTGTCATTCATTCAGCCGATTGTAGTGAATCGAGTATTGAATATGTTATTTTTGTATTTCTCCCTCAACCTCTTTTTTTTTTTGGCTGAGGTGGTGCTTTGGTGAGGCAGTGTTTGCCTCCTATCAACATTGAGCTCGGTTTCTCCTTCCGAGGCTTTCGCTTTAAGCCCAACTTCTTGCACTGTGGCTTTATTGATTCAGTTTTAGCTTTTCAGCATTAACTGAACAAAATGACCTAGCCAGGGTCTTTCATGCGGATTTCGCTTTTTGCTTTTAACCCAGTTTTCTTAATTAGGTTTTCAAATTTGAGGCGTCATGGTGACTTGATCAAGGTCATACCAATCTGCCCCTTATTTTTCAAACCTGATTTCATTTATCACAGCTTGTACACATGTTGTTTATTTTGACAATGTTTAGGATTCGAAAGCGTCCTTCTGTTTTCCTATGTCTCGGCTATAAGCCACAGTCCTGCAGTGTGCTTTTTATTTTTAACCTGTTTTCTATCCAGGTTCTTGCACGTTGCTAGACGTAGGTTTCCAATACCTTGGCTTTATAATATTTGACGTAGGTGTCATTTTTTGACTTCGTCTTGTTTCGTCATTTTTGACTTGTGAGTCATTTCCGATTGGGGTGTGATCTTTTTTCTAGGATCTCATCTCTCTAAACCTGTCTTCATTCTTTACCCCAGATTTTTATCATGGGTTTTTATCTCGGATTGGGGTGTGATCCTTTTTCTAGGATCACATCCCTCCAAACACGTCTTCATTTTAACGTGGATTGGGATGTGATCCTTTTTCCCAGGATCCTGTCTCTCCAAATTCGTCTTCATTCCATCGCGGATTGGGGTGTGATCCTATTTCTAGGATCACATCTCTCCAAACCCGTCTTCATTTCATCGCGGATTGGGGCGTGATCCTTTTTCCCAGGATCCCGTCTGTCCAAATCCGTCTTCATTCCATCGCGGATTGGGGTGTGATCCTATTTCTAGGATCACATCTCTCCAAACCCGTCTTCATTTCGTCGTGGGTTGGAGTGGGATCCTTTTTTCCAGGACCCCATCTCTCCAATCCCGTCTTCATATTATCGCGAGTTGGAGTGTGATCCTTTTTTCCAGGACCTCTTCTCTCCAAACACGTCTTCATATTATCGCGGGTTGGAGTGTGATCCTTTTTTCCAAGACCCCTTCTCTCCAAACCCGTCTTCGTTCTATCGCGGGTTGGGGTGTGATCCTTTTTCTAGGATCACATCTCTCCAAACCCGTCTTCATTTCGTCACGGGTTGGGGTGTGATCCTTTTTCCAGGACCCCTTCTCTCCAAACCCGTTTTCATTATTTATCCGAATTTTTATCCTGGGTTGTTGCCCCTTAGTTCGGCATATAGGGTTCCTATGCGTTACTCTTTATCGCATTTGCGAATATTTTATTCTTAGTGTCTGGAAGTCGGCCATGTTCATGGTCCGAGCCTTTGTTTTGTGATGTATGGCTTCAACTTTATGTCGAATTCTTTCTTCAGACATCCTGTTTTTCTTTCCTACACGGTATTTAGGGTGTCCAAAGCGAAGTCTGTTTGAACCATAATCTTGTTGGTCAAACTTCCGTGACCGAGGTCTCTATTGGAAGTAGGAAAGTTTTTTCCCTTTGACCTCTTTGCCGAATTTTTATTACTGTCGTCGGGATCATGGCGGTTCATTGATCCATGTTTTGAATTCATGGATACTTGTCGATCCGTGTTTTGGATTTATTTTTTCTTATTTTGTTCTTTCTTCGGTGTCGGGCCTCATGAGCCGGGTACCGTGTATGCTGTTTCAACATTCCTCCCTCATCCTTTTTGGTCGAGGTACGCAGCTCGGACTACTTGACCAGTCTTTTTGACTGTCGTACCGAGACCTTGACTTATGAGGATTGTTGCTTTCTTCTTTTAATTTTGGTTGTATTCCTGCACTTTCCCCCCAGTCCGGCAGTCGGGTAATCCGAGTTATCGGGCTGTATTACTTTAATTTAAGCATTTTTATGTCGGAATACTGACTTGCTTTTGCAATTTTCCTTTTTTGCTGATTTGAGGATCTTTAAGATCCCTTTTCACGAATGTTGCGGGGTTTTGTTCCCGGTTCTCCGCATGTTTCATTTGCAGAGTTGAATTTAGCCTAGATTTATATATTGTAGCTTTATTCACTTGAGCTCGGCTTTTCCAGAATCTCGTTGTGATATCGTCTTCTGTTTCAACCCGGTTGTGCATACCGTGTGTTTCACAGATTTTGATTTGATCAAAATCATTCACCTTTTTGAGTCCGGCTTGCATTGCCGTGACGTTCAGAAAGAACGGGGTGAGACTCCCGCTGAATGATTTTGCCTTTATACTCGCATCTTGAGTTTTATGCCTCCCTGATAACTTAGATATATTTTTCTAAGTATTCGAGGTTCATCAGATTCCAGAGTTGCCTGAAGTATTCGTTAAATACTTCTAAGGACTTAGCATTCTCTTGATTTTGATAAACAAGCTTGTATCCTTGTTATCTAGGTTTGTAACTTAGGCAATTTTCTAAGAATGTCAAACTTTACCCGAGTTGTCCCTCATCCGAGATGGGTTATTTTTACAACTCGAATAAATTCTTATTTTCGCAACTCGTGCATTTTACGAGTTCCAATATATTGACCTGGCCGAGGTCAAAAAGCATTATACGGATTTCGCTTTTTGTCACTCTCTGTGACGCATGTTTGTTTTAACTTAACATTTTGTTAAGTCAGCATTGATAAAGGTGATCATTGTCGCCTTAAATCATGACCAGGGTTTCGTAACCCGGTACTATCCAAGGTAAAGGCAGTATTGTCACATGTCCTACTTGGGTCTTTTGACCTTAGTACGAAGCATTTTGACTTGATCAGAGTCAGCATGACAAATTGCACTTGTATCTCAGATCTTATGTTGATGCATCATAAACACAAGGATCCATATTTACGAAGGTATCTACTTGTTCCCTCGTTTTACTTTAACCTGGATTCGTATACCGTGGTTTCATAATATTCAACTTGGCTTCTTGCCAGAGTTTCAATTTCGAAGGCGTCATGATGACTTGATTAGCGTCGCTTCAATCTACCCTCTTGAATCTTAGTTCAGTTTGGATTACGGAAGCGTGCTCCCACTTTCCATGAACCAGGTTTGATGTCGCATGCATGCATTATTCTTATATTTGAACCCGGATTGGACCCGTCTTCCATTTTTATATCCTGGATTCTTATTTATTTCCGATTTGTATCTCAGATCTTTTATCTTTATCTCGGATTGGATCTCGGCATATCCGTCTTCATTTAATCTTTGATTTGTATCTCGAATCTTTTATTTCTAATTGGATCTCGCTATGTCCGCCTTTAATTTGGATTGGATTGGATCTCTCCATATCCGCCTCCATTTAATCTCTGATTTGTATCTCGGACTGGATCTCGCCATATCTACCTTCATTTAATTTTCGATTTGTATCTCGGATCTTTATTTCTGATTGGATCTCGCCATATCTGCCTTCAATTTGGATTGGATTGGATCTCGACATATCCATTTCCATTTAATCTCCGATTTGTATCTCGGACTGGATCTCGCCATATCTGCCTTCATTTAATCTCCGATTTGTATCTCGGATCTTTTATCTTTATCTCGGATTGGATCTCGCCATATCCGCCTTCAATTTGGATTGGATTGGATCTCGGCATATCCATCTCCATTTAATCTCCGATTTGTATCTCGGAATTTTATCTTGGATTGGATCTCGCCATATCCGTAGTCATTAAATCTCTTATTTGTATCTTGGATCTTTATTTCGTATTGGATCTCGCCATATCCACCTTCATTTAATCTCCGATTTGTATCTCGAATCTTTATTTTGGATTGGATCTCACCATATCCGCCTTCAATTTGGATTGGATTGGATTTCGGCATATCCATCTCCATTTAATCTCTAATTTCTACCTCGGATCTTTATTTCTATCCTGGATCCCGATGTTGTGATCGGAATGCTTTTGATCTTTGAATTTAGTGTCAAAAGCTTTTGGAACTCGGCTGAATGGCCAATTTGCTTATTTATTGAGGGCTATGGCCCTATTGCTGTTTCTTTGCTAGAACATCTCAAGGAGGAATGAATTTGTTGGATCATCATTTTATGATCTTTATACATAAGGCATGCTGACTGCCCAAATTTCCTTTAGATGTCCTGAAATTATGGAGATAATGCACTTGCAAATGGGCTTCGCCCATTAATTGTTAGAGTGCTCATATCATTATCACAAATTAATGTATCAAATATGCTGATAAAAATTTAAATGTTGACTATCTGACCGTTGGTGCAAGTTTCTGTTCACCTGGCCTATAATTTTCTACTGGTCAACTTTTTATTTGCTAGCCATCACATC